GCACCAAACCAACTGTTCAAAGAGATGAGTAAGATGAAATTTAGACTGTGGGACATTGACTTGGGAAGAAAAAGTCAGATGTAAGACCCACAAAAACTGAAAATGAATTGAATTTTAACAAGGGCAATTTGCATCTGTGCATTAGAATAGGAAAAACTCTCAGGAGCAAATTCTGCCTTAGTTTACACTGCTGAAATGAAAAGCATTGCACCGGGTATAAGACAAGTTAGTTTCAAATCTGACTTTTAAAATGTGTAAATTGTTTTAATGAGAAATGTTTAATTTCTCATTCAAACAAATGCAATTGCTGTAAAAATATAGATCTCAGATTTTTTAAAAATATGTAACACAGGCAAAGGGAGATTTTGATTTTTCAGTTAAAGGCAGGGTTTAAATCCTTTGGGAAAGTCTCCCACTCACCTGAATAGGCTTTAGATTAGGCTCTTTAGCAGGTGTGAAAATAAATATTAATCCTAGCCAAGGTTTTACCATGTACTCTTTGAGTAAAATTTAAATGTTATGGAAGATTACATGTAAATCCATTCAACACTTTAGGAGCTCAAGGGAGTTTTTGTGTTATACTTAAGAAATTTGAGGCTTATTTATTTATTTATTTATTTTGGATCCCTCCAAATTCCAAAGGCTTTCTTGTGACCCTTTAGGTTGAAGTAGATCTAAACAAAATCTTGTGCCTATGCAAGTGCATTAAAAAAATAAAAACAAAGTTTTGATTTTCAAAGCTACCTAAAATGAATTTGATGTCCTCATCTCTTAAAATTAATAGGTGTTAGGTACCTGAATCCCTTAGAGCCGTGTTTCCCAACGACCAGCCTGTGGACTGGCACCGGTCCCTGAGATCTCCCTGATGTAGTTTAGAAGGCAGCAAGCTGGTCCCTGGTATAAAAGGTTGAGAAATACTGCTCTAATGGCTTTGAAACCCTCTGCCCAAGTTACTAGCATTTGTTCATCATAATGGTGTCTGTTTGCTCAGCATAAGCTGATAAATAAAAAGAAAATTATTCCTTCAGTTTGACTGCCGGCCCCTTCGCTCCGCCAGCCGTGCCCGCCGCCCCCCTCACCCCCAATGGCTCCTCCAGAGTCCGGCTGTGCTGCCCGTCCCCCCCCTTGCCTGCAGGAGCCCAGCGCCGGGCCGGCAGGCGCCGCTTTTGAAAAAAAATGCTGGGCTGCCCGGGCCGAGGGAAGCAGGAAGCTGCTGGGGAGAGGGGATCTCGCCAGCTGCTGCCTGCCCCACTGCTCCACTCCCCCCAGCCCCCGGGAGAAGCGAGCAGCGTCCGCCTGCCACCCCTTCCCCTTCCCCGCGCCCGGCCCCCCCCCGGACCGAGCCCCTCCGAATAATAAACAGTGGGTGAGCCTCTGAGATTCTTTAAACCTGTAGTACTGCTCACTTTGCATGAACATTAAGGATCCCAACGCACTTTTCTTAAGAAAGGGCATTTGGCCCAGTGTCATTTGCCAAAATATTTTTCCCTTCTATATTGTTTTGCTGTATACTGGCTGGTTGCCTCCTTCCACTTCTGAAGTGGCTGCATTTCAGTAGGGCAGTATTTATATAGTTTGAAAGTGTATACGGATCCTTAATGAATGAAAGAAGCAAGATCTATATGAGACAGTTATGTAATGTTTATTTTGTAACATGCAAGCGTTGTTTGGGTTTATGTTTGGGATCCACACTAAGGGCCACACTTTTTATGCCTCCCTAACCATTAAGTGGTTAAACAGTAGTCCCCCCCGCAAAAAAAATCTTCAATGGATAGGGTATATTTCTTTTCCATTGTTCAGCATTTAAAACTTAAATACTGTGAATCACATTCTGGTTTCATTTGCTCATTTAGTGCCTCTGCATGAAGTATAATCTTCCAAACACTGGACAAGGTTGAAAAGTTCCACGGGCTGTGGGATCCTTTTGTTTCTCATGTCTTTTTGTATGCAAAGCATTCATACAATGCTATTCAGTGAATAGATCTTTGTCCAGGACCTGATGAGGGCAGAGTAGTGGAAGTCTGCAGCAATGCTATTCTGTATGTTAGAGGCATTGTAAACTCCTCCGCACCCATATTTAATGTTCTGTTGTATGTCCAAAGCCCTTTCATAGTGAGACAGGCTGTGATTTGGGTTTTGGAAACGAGTTAGTGTTATGTGGTATTCTGTTTTGTTATGGATAATTGCCTGCTTGTATTGCTATTTGATTGTTAAGTTCAACATTTGTTTCACTAATGGGATTTAGATGTGTGTGCCTGACATTCTGTCAGCGTTTTGCTAACATTTCATGTAAGGAGGATATCTAGTACTGGAATAATGACACTGTTCCATTGCTTATTCAATTTTGTTGAAAGAATTAATGGTGAATTATAAACAGGGACGGCTCTGGCTTTTTTGCCGCCCCAGGCAAAAAAGCCTCCTGCCGCTCCCGGCCCCCCGGCGGGGAGCAGGGCAGGGGAGGGTGCCATGGCCCCACTCTCCCTGGCTGGCCGGAGCGCCGCGGGGAGGGCGGAAAGCCCAGCCGCGGCCCTGCTCTCCCCAACTGGCCGGAGCGCCAGGAGGAGGGCAGAAAGCCCGGCCGCAGCCCCGCTCTCCCCGGCCGGCCGGAGCGCCGGGAGGAGGGTGGAGAGTCCAGCCGCGGCCCCGCTCTCCCCGGCCGGCTGGAGCGCCGCCCCCCTCCAGGTGCTGCCCCAAGCACATGCTTGATAGGCTGGTGCCTGGAGCTGGCCCTGATTATAAAAACCAATATCCACAGATAACTTCAGATCTGAATGGCAGCAAATAATTATCTTTGCCACTGCTTGCAGGGAAAGTTTCTGCCTTTGCAAATCATTTGCATATTAAATGTTTGCCCCCATCCCCATTTTACTTTTAAAATATACTTTTTAGTGAATTTACTTCTGGCGTAGGGTACCCAGTGGCACTGAAGAGTGAAATCCTCTCTTTATCCACAGAACTTGGGCAGCAAACAGGGCAAGCTCCCTGCACGCTGCCCCATCAGTGTGCCTGAACCCTGTTCTGGAGAGCTCACCCCTAGGGGTTGGGAAGAGCAAAGTTCATTCTCCAAGCTCTTTCCGGTTTTCTCACAGACTTGCTGTGAGAGCTTGAGTTAGTCACTTACTCTCTCTCTGTGCCTTAGTTTCTCCATCGGTAAAGCAAGGATGATGACAACACTACACCTGCCTTGCAGGACTGTTGAGACTTAACTCATTACTATTCAGGGCCACCCAGAGGATTCAGGGGGTCTGGAGCAAAGCAATTTTGGGGTCCCCTTCCATAAAAAAAAGTTGCAATACTATAGAATACTATATTCTCGTGGGGGCCCCTGCGGGGCCTGGGGCAAATTGCCCCACTTGCCCCCCCCCCCGGGCAGCCCTGTTACTATTTGTAACGTGCTTTGATGTTCTCAGATGAAATGTGCTATAGAAGAGCAAATCATTTTTACTAGTATGGACAGTAATGCTCAAACATACTTTTCACCTTATAGCAGATAGCAGCCGGCTGGTTTTGGGAGGACTTCCAGGCTTAAATGCCAACAGTTGACCTTCACAACGTCATCATGGCCTTGATGTAGGGGAGGGTGGATCAGTACTTTGATAAGAAATCTTCATGTATAGGTGCTGTAGAAAGAGGTGTTAGTGATTCAGTATGTGGCCCTCTTTTCCTGAAGTTGTATTAAACCCATACCACTTGTGAGGTTGGAGGTAAAGGGATCTAGAGGCAGGTCTCCTTTCTTCCAAATCCTTCCATGTTACCCAGTGGCACGTTTTCCCAACCCAGCTCCTGTTCCAGCTGAATCAGACACAAAATTCTCATTGGCTTTAATGGTGCAGAATTGGTTGCGTCACTGGACCCCTCTGATGTAGATAAATTACTTACCTTTCAGTCTGGGTATAAGCCAGGGATATAACTAACACTGGTGTTGCTTGAGTAGGGGGGTTCACTAGCCTGACCATGGGTCTGATTTTTGAGAAGTGTGGAGAGTGCACACAACTCGAGGTGAGCACCTCTGAAAATCAGGCTTAAGGTATAGAAAGTGGGAACCTAAAATTAGAGGCTGCTTCTGAAAATGCTGGCCTAACAGATGTGTCCAGGATCCTATCACAAGTCAATGGTAGACCTGGGAATAGAACCTAGGCATTCTTACTCACACTTCCCTACTTGAATCACTAGAGATCACATTCCCAACCATTTCCCATCTCCCCCATGGTAGGGACATGTTGCCACAGCCATTTGGGAGACTACAAATGAATCAGTCAAGTTCAAGGAGATAAAAATGACAGTTCACATCAATGTACATGTACATGTCAGTGTTTTGATATTTCCTTTCTAAAAACAAAGGAGATTCCTAGATAAAATGCCTCAAGATAGACTTAAGCTTGTAACAACATATCACATTAATTTAAAGCATTGTTGATAGAATGTTGTAGTAATTACTAAACAAAAAATGAAAACCAAGGTATTTGGAATTAAGGTTCTGTAAACAACTCCCATATATCCAAACACTGTATTTCATCTACATTGCTGAAATGACCTCCATCATTGTAGAAGACACCAAAATCTCACCTCTTATCTATACAAATGCAGAAAAAGCATCTTCCTCATCACCATTCCACTGTGAGCCATGGACCCTAATCTACTTGATAGCTACTTTGTGTACACAAATTAGAAAGCTCACTGTGTCTACTTCATTCATACTTCCTATATGGCTTAAGACTGCACACTTTAGAAACAAATCCAGTATACACCTTTGCTCCATTCACTCTGTGTGAATGGCTACAGATTCCTGAATAACACAAGTAACCAAACATGCATGGATGTGTGTATAATGTCATATATTTTCATTTGTTGCCCAAAATAAGAAAGCATTTAAAATTATTGCAATAATAATAATATACCAATATTCCATTAGGTGGAAACTGAGTCCTTATAACCTTTGAGTCCTTATTATTTAGGCTTGATTTTTAGCAACAGCCTGAAATATCCATCTTGTTGTATAGGTATGGAAACCTGGAGACCTCAAACTGTGAAGAAGATGGAAGCCAGAATTCCTCAGAGTCTAAAACAGTGCTCAGGAAGTAAGTGTGGCTTTATGCTGTACAGCAAAACCTCAGTCAGGATTGGATATTGAGAAAGGACGTGGTCAACATAATCCTCTTTTCCTTTGAAAATACACAGCAATCCATGCTCGTTTTGATAACACAAAGCAGTAACTCTGTCATAACTCTAACAGATAGTACAAACCTCAAATCTCTGAGGGAGGCAGGGGAACTTTCCCAGAACAGATCAGACCTGTTTCATGTGGTGGCCAACACATTATAGTGAGAAACTAAGCATGTTTGTTTCCCTTGCTTTTCTTATCCACAAAAATATATGATTATTCTTTATTATTGATTTTGTATTGTATTGCGATAGTGCCTTGAGACCCCAAGTGGCGATGAGGGCCTGCTTGTGCCAGGCTCTGTACATGATTCTAAAGTCATTTTTAAGTTTTGATGGCATGGTATGTTGTGTGCAAAATGGTGAAGCTATTTAAAAATATTAAATGTAAAAGAATAGTTACCTTTCTCTCTTTTTAATTTCATGTGAAATATTATTTATCTTTAAGAGTCAAGAGTAAAATGAATCTTAGGTCACAGTATTTGTACTTTGACACCTGAATGATCTACAATTTGCATCTGCAACGGCAGCATAAAATAGCTGGATGATTGTATTTGATTACCCTGAGTAAAGACCTTTGACTCAGCTCTGTACAGCGTGTCAGTGCTGTCAACTTCCCCATAATACTGTCACAAATTCCATCGATGGGAGCATTATTAAATGTTTCTTAATTTCATTTTGCTGGTTTGTCTGTTGCATAACTGAAGAAAGGAGTCCACAGCTTTCAAGTTCTTCAGTTTGTTTTGAAAAAATAAGTCCAACACTCCTTTCCCATCACATGCCATATACAGCATAACCAGTGTTCCAAGCTCTTACTCTAGTATGTTTTCCTGCTAGAAATAACATTTTAACTGATGTTGGGGTTTTTGAGAGGGGAGAGGAGGTGGGGTTTTCATTCCCTATTCCAGCATTGTCTATTCCTAAGACACAGGTAGGTGGGTTTTATAGAGTATGGCATAGTTTTTCAAAACAGCATTATATTCTAAAACATTGCCAGCTTATCTGATACGCCAACCCCAGCACAGCACAGCTCCTTACTCTACTGGGTCTCTGTGCTGATTGTGATGTCACAGCATAGCATGCTGTGGGGCATCTTATTGAAGCTGAGCTGGCAAATCTGGACTTGAGATGATATAAACCCTACTCAAACTGTAAGTTTGACAGTGGGCTCCATACCCTGCTGCCCTTTGCTGTGTGGGTTTAACAGGGACGGAATGTGGGTTAGTGGTTAGGGACCATGCTTTGGAAATCAAGACTTCCTGCTTTTACTGCCCACTCTTAAACTGAGGGTTTGTCTACATGTGAAACACTACAGAACTGTAACTGTGTCTCTGTAGTGCCTCAGCGTAGATATTACCTACGCTAACGGGAGGGGTTCTCTCATCGACATAGGAAATCCACCTCCCCAAGAGGTGGGAGCTAGGCTGATGGAAGAATTTTTCTGTCAATCTAGTACCATCTACATGGGGACTTAGGTGGGCTTAACTATATTGCTCAGGAGGGTGTATTTTTACACCCTGGAGCAACATAGCTGGGTCAATCTAATTTTCTAGTGTAGACCACCCCCAATTTGCTTGGTGACCTTAGGCAAATTGCTTAACCTCTCTGGGCCTTACAGTTTCTCCATCTGAAAAATACCAGTAATGAACATACAGGAGTGTAGTGGCGCTTAATTAATGTTTGTAAAATACTATGAGATCCTCAATAGAAGGCTTTACTCAGAGACGAAGTATTATCCTGTCGTAATTTTTGTTATACACTTGTTGATCACCTTTAAATAAACGAGGTCAGAAATTAAGAGCTAACCATTGATAGGTTTGAGAGTTTGGAAGAAGAAATGTACTGGCTGTCAAGGCATTTGTACTGGGTTCAACACGGCAGTTTGAGTCTCTGATTCCTCTCTGCTGTAGGGAAAATAGAGCTAGCTGTATTGTCTCCCCATTTTGTCATAAAGCACTCATTCAAGCACATGTGGTAGTTTTTAAATATGTCAGAAATACAGAGAAGGCAGTAAAATGTGGTGGGTAGAGAAAATGGCTGAAGGCCAAAGGGTCCTGGGCTCCAGTCCAAGCTGAGCCATTGAATCCCTTATGACTTTGGGCAAGCCACTTGACCTCTCTGTGTTTGGGTCAACCCAGCCATAAAACTTGAGGTAAGGCAAGATCTTGTTGCAAAACAGATGATGGATTTGAGTGAGTTTCATGGGAAAATAAACAGCTGAGGACCAAATATATATGTGAAGTATAGGGAATATGTAGTGGTGTGGTGTAGCATAGGGGTTTGTCAGCATGAGTTTGAGATGGGGGTGTTACTCACGAGTGGTGAATTTTAAAATGTACCATTGAAAACATTGGTATCGTTGGAAAAACAGATATTGAAAATGTGCTTGAAAAATATACCAACAAAGAAGGAAAAAAGATAATATAAGGAAAAAATTGAAAGCAGAAGAGGGGAAGAGGAGAGAACAAAAATGGAGAAGATACTTTCACCGATGTAAATTCAGCCAAACTTCAATGTCTTTGGGGAGTCACTCTGGATTTATACCCATGCAGGAGTAAAATTTGACCCTGGATGTAAATTTGAGAGAAAATGAGTGAAAATAGTGAGGTATTGTCATTCAACGTATGTGCAAAATGACAGTCAATTGCATGTGGAAGTGAAAGAGCAACAGAAGTAGCAATGTGTTGTGGGTTTTTTTAAGCAGCACTGCCTTGCACACTTTAACACCTTCCTGCTATTTGCTTTTCCTGCTACACCGTAGCTTCTTCCCTCTCGATACATAATTAATGCACTTTTGCACAACCCCGAATGCTAAATTGGTGCAAGTTATATTGCTTTATCACTTAAATACTTATTCCAATGAATCTACATCCAGCACGTAACTTACACTAACATTTCCAGCACTGCTGAATTTGATCCCGAGACCTCCATGGGAGTGGTAACTTCTTACTGCATGTATGAATTTTATCCACATTCTTTTTTTTTATTAATTTACAAAAAGTTTTATACTAAAAATTTATAACAAAACGCATCAGATTAATAAATCTATAAAATGTATACGTGCTTTACACAGATGCTTTATAACTACAAATTCACACTCATTCCTCACCATTTCCCACTGCATCCCCCTTGGCTGCTCTGCCTACTAGCCTCTAACTTTAATGATAGATTCTAGGAAGTGGATAGCTTTCTGGTCATCTTGTATAATACGTGGTACTGGTAACTCAGACTTTCTCTTGGCTTGCGATTCTAATTCAGATATGATTTCATAACTCATTTCTCATAGAAGAAAAAACCGATACATCTTATGCTCACATTTTTATAAGGATGAAAGAAATAATAAGAAGAATTGGTAGTGTTGGTGGCTAGAAATAACCTGTCTCAGCATTTCTCTGTGGACAGTCTCTCACAGGGAATCATATAGTCAACAATTTTTTTCTTTCTCATATACTTTACCAGCCTTCTATTGTGACAGTTCAGAGTTACGTCTGGGATTTTAGTACCTCATCATAAAATTTAAAACCACACTTCCGCTGGTTTTGTACAAATATGCTACATAAGCGTTATGATTTTAAAAACAACTTTAGGATCAGACTTTAAAAAATAATGGCCTGTCTGCTCTCCAGGGCTATTAAAGATCTCATGGTTCTTTTTAAAAAAAATAAAAATAGAGATTTGCTCTGGCATTTTGGGTCATAACAACCCTGTCGTCTATTGTGTTGGACAAATAAGGAGTATGTTGGTTCAGGATAAAAGAATACATGAAGCAAGGCAAAATAAAAATCTATATCAAGAGTACAGCTAAGAGAAGAAATAAGACAATATGATAGTATTGAATGCCTAGAAGTTTACACAATAGACCAGTTAGCTTTTTGACAACTAGGCTGTATAGTTCAGATGTGTGCCTGGGTTGTCTCATTACCTTGTAACCAATATATAGGAAAATGCGACATTATTTTTTGCTGTTTTAATATTCCCAGTGCACCTCTGGTACAAAGACCCCACAGGCTACATTGGCATTAGCCATGGGACACTAGAAAGATAAAGTTATATCCATGAGCTTTCATGCCCATTTTAAGAATTCTGTGGAGTGGATCAGCCAAGCCAAGCTATTTAGGGGTCCCAGGTTTACTGAAGTTGTTTAGTGTATTGTGCATAAGAAAGACAAGCTTTCAAGAGATATCCCTCAATCACAGAATAGGTACCAGAGCAGTGGTGAACAGGTCCTGAATCAGCTTCTTGGCATTGATAGAGGTTGTACTCTCTACACATCTCTGAAAAAAGCTCATTCTCCATATTAAGTTTAAATTCAGGGCTAGTTTAGTGCTGACAGACTGCTGTACTAATACCCACAACTTAGACATATGGGCACAGTCCCAAATGTATTAAAGAGGCAACACATTAAAGAAACTGAATATTTCTCATACTTAAGATAGCAAGCATTTAGAGTTGGCCAGAGCTCATTCTGGATAGATGGAGACTGGTAAAGCCTTTGCAGTACAAAGTGTTGCAGCTGCTTGTCTGGGTTGCAGATCGGTGCTTTAAATGGATACTGGAGAACATTTTAGCAGTTGTCAGGGTCAAATGTGCTGTGATCATGTGCCTGTGGTTCACTGCTGGGGTTGTGACACTGGGAGTGCTTGGTAAGAGGCACATTATGCACTCCAGCTAAAGGTGCTTAGAATCTAGCCATCAACTTAAAAGGCTCATAGTAACAGTTCGTAGAAGTGATGAATCAGTCTTCAGATTAGACTGCAGATTAGAAGTGTCTAATCTAAATTTAGAGGTTCATTTGCAATGTTTGCAGTAAAGGGGGACAAGTTTAATGTTAATTAAGTTGCGACAAATCCACTGATTTGATCATATTTATTCAGTGTCCTGATACTTGCGTATGTCCACAGAGAAATGCTGAGTCAGTGTCCTGATACTTGCGCATGTCCACAGAGAAATGCTGAGTCAGGTTAGGCATTTCATTGAATAATCTGATTTGGAGAGATATCAGAGAATGTTGTCTGTAAACAATATGATCTTATATTCTTACCTGTACATAGAAATGCCTCATATATTTAGCCAGTGAAATTACTATTCAAAGGATATCAATAGACAGAGCAAACAAAATCTAATAACAGTAATAATAGAAATGTTTCACATATGTTACACAGTAAAGAAAGTGAATTACATTTGAATCCATTAATTTACATGGATGCTCTTGAGCCAAAATAGAAAAGCTAAGAGCTTCAGTAAACCCAATTCAAAGTTATATTTCTCAAAGATACTGAAAAGAAAGCTTCCGAGTCAGAAACTCAGCCTCCTGATTGTGGTATCAGATATTTAGTAGGCATTTTTAGTTAGCTTTATTTATTTTAATTATTTGATTTTATTTTGCAGCATAGTGAAACCACATTAAGGGTACTATGAAAAAGGAGATTGCTTGTCTCAATCAAACTGAGGTTCGGGAAATATACAAGCTCTTTTGTAGTGCAAAGAATCAGTGAGCTTCCCACTCACTGGAAGCCCACAAACAGTTCTCTTCTCCCAAGCATAACTGCTGCACCAGCATGACAGAGGATTGAGGTTTGAGTCCCCAATAAACTGGAGCCACATCCAAGAAGATGGAAACAGAGAAGACTGTATCTTTCCTTCTAAAATTGATTTCAGTTTACCAGTTCATGACATCCCCTATGTATCCATTAAGCGACAAGGAGCAAAAGTGAATCAAAACATTTCTAAATGCTTGGTGCCTTTGTTCACTCAGCTAATGTCAAATCCAACTGAATCTGCTTTTGCTAGAACTATAAAAGGAACTTGGAATCTGATGCAGGAAATGAATCAGGCATCAAGTTCATGTCTAACCCCTCCTTCTCCTGCGGCACAGGAGGTTTCCACAAAGCCTCTCGGTAATAATGACCATGTGACATTCTTAGAGGTTCAGCTCTAATAAAGCACTACAGTGTTCCATGTTAATTATCCAAAACACTAGAACCTTCAATACCAATGCTGTAATGTTTTGGGCTATTGTTATAGAATGCTTGGGGTGGGGGAAGGTTATTTTTAATAAACTATTGATCCAGACCCTTTTGTGACAGAGAATTTGCCTTTTGTTACCTGTAAAGCTTATTATTTCAGCTGCTTATAAAAGGGTTTGGTGTACTTAAAGAACCAGATACTATGGGAGGGAAATCTGTGAACCTTTGGCTGACATTTGTACAAGGCTTTCCCTGGCTTCAGGAGATGTTCCTGAGGATTTGAAAGTAGCAAACAACATGATTCCCATATTACTTTAGACAAGGTAGAACTGAGACAATATGGTTGAGTTAACTTCATTTGTGAAGGAAATCTTGGAAATCATGTGAAACAGGAATGGTGGGACTGGCCCTTGCAAAGCACAGTTCGGCTGTTGGTATGTAGCGTGGATTTAGGAAAGGGGAGGTCATAGGAACAAAAGCTTCCTGTCCGGCTGGCTGATTCAGTAAGAAACTAGTCAGCCATCTTATATAACCCCTTTTGCAAATATACTTGGTGCTGTGCAGAGCTGAAAGCATAGCTTATGTTCATAAAAATTTCTGGGGATAATAGTGGTGGACTTGGCAGAATTTTTAACCCCAATCAAGCCACTAAGATCCCCAAACTCTTTCTTTAGTACCAGCTTGGGTAAGAAAAATGCTGTGTGGCTACCTTCGCAGAGAAAGGTCCTCAAAAATCCCATCTGGACCTCTGCATCAGGACTTGCTCCGTCAAGGCCCCACATCATAGCTATCCTTCCAGTCAAGGAATATTGGGCAGAGCTCATCTTGTAGCTTATCAATGCCATTCCAGAATCAACTGATGGAGTTGCTGTTAAGAGATATGAGGGACTCTCTCCCTCTGGTTTTCCATGTGTTTCCTGTCCTACTAGCTCTGCTCGCTGGGTGTAATAGAATCTTTAGGGTCACTGCAATAACTTCATAGCATGTCAGCCTTGGGATATTGCATTGCATTGTGGGGGCATAATGTGAGGTGATGAGTGGTGTCCTGTGGACCCATTTTGAAAGGTGACAAAACTACAGCTCTCTTCCCACCCAACAATGGGCTGAGTAAGGGATTTAAAATTTTAGGGACAGGGTTCATACCAGTGGAGCAAGGAGAACCTCTAGATTAGTGAATAACAGCTTGAAAGCATTACTGAACAGAGCCCACATTGTGTGGCTCTCAAGACAGGAATTTAAAATCCAACGTTCAGTGGCAGCCCACAAGATATGCAGTACAGTATACCAGGGGTTCTCAACCTTTTTCTTTCTGAGCCCCCCTGACATACATAAAAACTCCATGCCCCACCTGTGCCACAATAAATGGTTTTCTGCATATAAAAGCCAGGGACAACATTAGGGGGTAGCAAGCAGGACAATTGGCAGGGGCCCCACACTGCAGGGCCCCTGCGAAGCTAAGTTGCTCAGGCTACTGCTTCAGCCCCAGGTGGCGGGGCTCAGGGTCCTGGGCTTCATTCCCAGCTTTCTGCCCTGGGCCCCAGCACTGGTCCTGCTTGGTGGACCCCCTCAAACCTGCCTGTGGACCCCCAGGGGGCCCCAGACCCCTGGTTGAGAACCACTGTAGTATACAATGTGGGGACAGACAAAGATTTATGGTTTGCAATCCCCCCATGAAGAATAGATTCTATGATGTTGCTTTCCTGTCTGAGATCTTGGAAGTCTCACATTCCTATCTGTTTCTTGGCCTATCAAGTACAGGGAGTTTCTTCCCAGGGACATCAAACATAAAGCTGCTACAAGATTTGGGCACTTGTCCAGCCTTTCTTCAGAATGCTTCCCTCCCTAATGTACTGATTGTTTAATCAGCCGATAGGAGGTCAGTGGGATACAGCCCCTGTCTGCACAATGTACTTTCTTTTTTTTTTTCTTTTCCCCTCTTGATTGAAATTATTTTGCTGGCAAAATCAGTGTCTGTAACTGCTGTGAACTTTTCAACTCCACTCTGAGAGATTGGGCTTGTGTTAAACTCTGTTTATTTTTCAGTGTATGAAAGTGCCCGTCATCAATGGCACTAAATATAAAAAATGTGTTGAACGGTATTAGCACTAAAAAAAAAAACCCTTCTCAGAGCTATAAATGAGCTCTCACTTGCAACGCATCTCCAAATGGGCAGAAGCCTGATGAAAGGTCAACTTACCCTGGCCCCTGAATTCAACAGACTAGTTGTTTATTGTAAAAGTGGGGTAAGCCACTGATACTTCCAAAACAGCAAGACATCTCTTTAAAATGCAGTATGGACATAGAAGCAGGAACATCTGTATTTGAAATAAAAGTAACTTTTAAACTAACCTCTGACTGAGGAATGAATGAGCTTGTTTAATGAAAAATATTAATAGTGAAACGGAAGATCCCAGGCTGTTCAGAAGAATAAAGCTGATAACCACAAAGAGCTTAGATCCTGAAGTCCTTACTCGGTCGTTAATCAAAGGGATTATTGACTGAGTAAAGATGGCAGGATTTGGCCCCAAGTGAGCCATCTGAGTTGTACGGTCTTTGTTTTGAGTTTGTAATGAAGCCCCAAACCAAGAGAGTTTTGCATGTTTTCATCCTTGGTTGTTAATGTTTTGTGCAGCTCGGTTCTTGTAATTCTAGAGCAGGGGTCAGCAACGTTCGGCATGCAGCTCGCCAGGGTAAGCACCCTGGCGGGCCGGGCCAGTTTTATTTACCTGCTGACGCGGCAGGTTCGGCCGATCGCGGCCCCCACTGGCCGCGGTTCGCCGTCCCGGGCCAATGGTGGCGGCGAGAAGTGGCGCGGGCGAGCGATGTGCCGAATGTTGCCGACCCCTGTTCTAGAGTTAACCCCTGCTGGCTGCTCTAATCAAGTAATATTACTGTCCGTTTTCAAAGCACTCTTTCTGACCAGAAAAGCAGATTGCTTGCCATATTATAGAAGGGAATGGAAGAAACAGTAGTAGAAAATACGGAAATGTTTGTAAAATAACAAGTCAGCATAGTCTTAAAAACATACTGGCTATATAGGGAGTATGGCTAGAACATAGAAGAGAGGGTGATAGACAACCCAAATGCTAAAGCTTTTGAGGTTTTATTTTGCATGATTAGTTGAAGCTTATCCAAACAATCTACATTTCTTGTGTCTGCTAAACTGAAAGAGAAACATTGCAAAAACGATTTGGTTTGTCTTTTGGGTGAAGCTTGTGCGTGTATGGAGCAGGGATGTTTCTATTATTATCTGAACCATTTCACCCAGGCCTAATGGTACCTTGTTTGATAGAGATACTGGATTAGATAGGCGAGTTTTGGTGCTGCTAAAAATAATGGATCTGATTTGCCACTGTCTTGCATCTTTGGGGAGTGATTGAGCACCTATTTACAATGGTGTATATAACACCACTGTAGTCAACGGTAAAAATCTGTGTAAATGAGATTACAATAAAGCTCGTGTGCAAAAATGGCACCAAATCAGAACTCTGTGTTCACGAACAGCAGTGGTAATATATTACACTTATTCTGTACCCTCTTTACACAGGTATACAAGACATACCGTATGTAATCAATCAATCTTTTCCAATGTACTTCTTTTCAGTGCAATAGCCTCAATCTTGAGAGCCTGGCTTGACCAATGCTCTGAAGACTTCCGAGAGCCACCCAATTACCCTTGTTTGCAGAAATTGCTGGATTACCTTAAACGGATCATGCCAGGCTCTGACCCGGAGAGAAGGGCACAAAACCTCTTGGAGCAGCTTCAGAAGCAAGAAGTGAAAAATGAGAGTAAGTTACATTTTTGCACGGCTATTACTGCCTAATCTCCCAGACTAAACCGAAGAACCTGAATTTTCAGGGTAAATTTTACAGGGTGTATGATTTGGATCCCATTTACAGTGATGTAGATCAAGAGTGACTCCACTGAAGTCAGTGGGGTTATAATGGATGTAGAATCAGGCCCTCTGGACTTTTGCTTAGCTGTTTGCTTATTGAATCCCACAGAGATTGTAGCTACCATAGGGATGAAATACAAACATGAAGTGTGGAATAATATGTCTAGTAATTCTGATCGAAATTTAGGGAACTCCAGCGTTTCTAAGAACTCTGCCAGTGCACAGAAGTTGCTGCAACAGCGATATAGTTAATTGCAATTGCATTCTCTGTCTTCAGAGTAAAACCACAGCTGCTCTCTAATTAGTTTTCTCATTAAATTAATTAATTAATTAAAATCCCATCAAACGTTACTATGCTGTGACCAAATGCACATTCAGTCACAAGCCTATTTGTCATGAAAGCTTGCTTCTCTTCCCAGTTACCACCATGTCAAAGGAAATGCCTGTGGCTGTTTTTTCCTATTTGAGTGACAAGCTGCTGACATCCAAGGACAGAGGAAAATTTTACTTTACCAGGTCAAAGATCCACTGAAACAATAGTGAGCTGTAGTAACACACAAATGCTATGTAGTGTCAAACTTGGCACATAGTCCGTACCCGAGTTAGAAAGTTTCCTGTGACATAATTAGCATAGCTAGAAAGTTACCGGAATTTGTGCAATGTGAGAACCAGATTCAATGTCCATCTTTGACAGATGAATGAAAGGAAATGATACATGGAATAAGAAGGAAGAAGGCAAACAACAAAAAAGTAACATTTCATCTCACAAACATTACCTGCCGGATGTTCCAGAAATGAGGAATTATTGCATAATCAGACACAATGCCAAATGAATGTATGCATTTAAATCTGTATAAAAAGGTCTATTGCATAAAATCCAAATGTTTTCCTCATCAGAAAAAAGCAAGTGTACAGTGTTGCTAATATGTGTCTAATGATGGTCTTTCCTGGATTTGGTTCTAGCAGGCCAAACAATGAAAGTCCAAGGGCTCTATTTTTTAGATCCAATTGATGTCCAAAAGGAGCAGAAGTTCCCAGGCACTCAGCTGCTGCACTAATTTCCTGAAGTAACACTTGAAAAGGTTCCTACTTGAGTCACAGGCACTTCACTTGAATGAGAATAAAATTACTTGAATGCTGCAAGGATAAAGGCAGTTAATAAAAATTAACAAGTTATTTTGAGGGTCTGATGAGAGCTGCTTTATAGCGGTGACTCATTTTATTTCATGTCCGTTCTATGTCTGCTCACCTTATACAAAACTGAAACAATCATTTGTTTCAAAGTTCAGATTTAAATACACGATAATAATCATTGTTATAATTTAATGCTATCTAATGCTATACATTGACATGAACTTTACAAATATAGACCCGGATCTGACAATCTGATTGATATGGGGCATTGCACAGGTCCACCCTTTGTGGATTAGACTGCCAGATTGTCGCCATAGAGACTACATGTTCTCTGCCCCAAAGAGCTTGCATCTTAAAAATACACAACCAGGCAAGCACAGGACAGCAGTTCAGGAGCACGAGTGTATGGAGATTACTAGTGATGTCAGGAAGAGAATAGCAGGTTTGAGAGATGGGTGTTAAAGAAGGATTTGAAGGAGGAGAGTGTTCTTCGCATATGGGGACTGGAAGACTGCTTCAGCTGTAGGGACAACGTGACAGAAGGTGTGAAAATGAGAGTGGGAAAAGAAGATAAAGGGGTCTGTAAAGGAAAAGACTTGGGAGGGGCAGGAAGGTGTGTAAAGAAAATGAGAACAGAGTTGAAGACAAGATTGTTTAAGATCTTGTGGGTGTCATGGAGTTGAATTTGATAATCTAGGATGCAAAAAGGCAGTGGGGGGATTCCAGCAAGGGGCAGTATGCTCAAAAAAAGAGGAAAGAGGTGATTTTCATAAACCGTTGTTATGAAAATTAGGGCTGTCAATTAATTGCAGTTAACTCACACGATTGACTTAAAAAAATTAATCGCAATTAAAAAATTAATTGCGATTTATCACAGTTTTAATTGCACTATTAAACAATAGAATATCAATTAAATATTTTTGAATGTTTTTCCACATATTCAAATGTATTGATTTCAATTACAACATAGTATACAAAGTAGACAATGCTCACTTTATTTTTTTAATACAAATATTTGCACTGTAAAAATGGCAAACAAAAGTAACAGTATTTTTCAGTTCACCTCATCAAGTACTGTAGTGCAATCTCTTTATCATGAAAGATCTACTTATAAATGTAGATTTTTTTTGTTACATAAGTGCACTCAAAAACAAAACAATGTAAAACTGTAGAGCCTACAAATCCACTCAGTCCTACTTCTTGTGCAGCTAATCGCTAAGACAAACAAGTTTGTTTACATTTACAGGCGTTAATGCTGCCCGCTTCTTATTTACAATGTCACCTGAAAGTGAGAACAGGCGTTCGCATGGCACTTTTGTAGCTGTCATTGCAAGGTCTTTACATGCCAGATATGCTAAACATTCGTATGCTTCTTCATGTTTCGTCCACCATTCCGGAGGACATGCATCCATGCTGATGATGCTCATTAAAAAAATAATGCATTAATTAAATTTGACTCTGATCTCCTTGCGGGAGAATTGTATGTCTCCTACTCTGTGTTTTACCTGCATTCTGCCATATATTTCGTATTATAGCAGTCTCGGTCATCATGATGACCCAGCACATGTTCGTTTTAAGAACACTTTCACTGCAGATTTGACAAAACGCAAAGAAGGTACCAATGTAAGATTTCTAAAGATAGCTACAGTACTCGATCCAAGGTTTAAGAATCTGAAGTGCCTTCCAAAATCTGAGAGGGACAAGGTGTAGAGCATTTTTTCAGAAGTCTTAAAAGAGCAACATTCTGATGCAGAAACTACAGAACCCGAACCACCAAAAAAGAAAATCAACCTTCTGCTGGTGGCATCTGACTCAGATGATGAAAGTAAACATGCGTCAGTCCGCACTGCTTTGGATCATTGTTGAGCAGAACCTGTCATCAGTATGGATGCATGTCCTCTGGAATGGTGGTTGAAGCATGAAGGGACATATGAATCTTTAGTGCATCTGGCATGTAAGTCTCTTGCGATGCCGGCTACAGCAGTGCCATTTGAACGCTTGTTCTCACTTTCAGGTGATACTGTAAATAAGAGGTGGGCAGCATTATCTCCTGCAAATGTAACCAAACTTGTTTGTCTGAGCGATTGGCTGAAAAGAAGTAGGACTGAGTGGACTTGTAGGCTCTAAAGTTTTACATTGTTTTATTTTTGAATGCAGTTGTTTTTTGTACATAATTCTACATTTATAAGTTCAATTTTCATGATAAAGAGATTGCACTACTGTACTTGTTAGGTGAATTGAAAAATACTATTTCTTTTGTTTTTATAGTGCATAAATATTTGTAATAAAAAATAAACATAAAGTGAGCACTGTACACTTTGTATTCTGTGTTGTAAGTGAAAGCAATATATTTGAAAATGTAGAAAACATCCAAAACTATTTAAATGGTATTCGATTATTGTTTAACAGTGCGACTAATCGCAATACATTTTTTTAATCACTTGACAACCCTAATGAAAATCCATTTCCATGTGCTTATTTTTATAAAATATCTGCAGATAAGGCTGCAGAAGACATTTCCACAAACCTCTTTTAGCTCTTTGAATAAATTGGTATATCTGGATTCCTGTCCTTGCCTTCCAATAGTTCTAATTTGTTACAGTAGAGTCTTGCACTAATGACTGGGAGACCCAATGTGAACTACTAGAGTTTGCAAGGTAGTAAACAAAGAGAAGACAAACATTTTTGGGAAAAAGGAAGATCCATCACATAATGTCCTTTGTTATTTTGACATTTGCTTAGTTGTAATTTGATATGAAATACTTCAGAGATATTCTGAAATGTATTGTATATTTTGTCAAGCCTTAATAATCGAGACCTCATTACAACAGCTTTGCTGTTAAATCTTTGTTGAGAGATGGGAGAGTCCACCAATTTTTGTATTTTTTTTTTGGACTGGATCTCCTCTTCCTGCAGTAAAATCCATGGGATGGGGATTTAGGGAGAATGAAATATCTTCATCGATCCTTTAGGTGAGATCCTCCCTAATCTTTGAGTGGTGGGGAAAGTTTTCCCTGATGGACTAAACCATGGTTTCCCCCCCAAACCTGGAGGGTCCTCTAGGATCTTTGTGCATCTTGGGGGAGCCACAGGCTGTCAGAGCCATTTGCATTGAGTCCCTGTGCCTCTGCACCAGCTCTATTTCCCCACTCCCAAGTAATGCTGCTCCCATGGAGTCTGTAAAGGAGTATCTTGCCATGGAGACTCAGCATCAACTTTGCAGAGCAGGGAGAACCATATTGGGTTACTCTCTCTTCTCCCCAGCTTGAGCCACACCAGGACTTCTATAGGACCCCAGGCAGGAGAGTATACTACCAACGAAATGTCTAACACCCCACCCTTCCATACAGGAGAGTCTAAATCTGAATGCAAAGGGTCCCCTATGCACTGAATGTGGGACACTATCTGGCCCTTGGATAGTTCAATTTTTTTTAGGTTATAAAGCATATTGACTATCAAAGGGTGGATTAATGAGGTTCTGCTATAGGAGGGAGAAATTTTTATACCTGCAAGTCTTGTCTGTGTTGGTTGTAAATTCTTCAGAGGAAGGACTCTATTCCATTATGTGTCTCACTACAATACCTAGCATGAGAGAGCCCTGACATCAGTTAGGATCTGTAGGCTCCACTATAATACAGATAAATAATGGTAATAATAAACAATGGCTTTAATTAACTGTTTAGCATGTGTATGTTACCAAGTAATATTATATTTTCCATACTGGACAGATGGGTTCCATAACACCTTCAGTTTCAGCCTTGATGAGGAAGAGGAAATGGAGACTGGTGGGCCAGAAGAGTTCTCTTTTTTCCCAGAAGACCTTGTGGCAGAGCAATTAACATACATGGATGCAGTAAGTACTGTGTACATTTAGGGGGGAAAGCTACTGGGGAAAATGCTAGGGTACTTAGTGTTGTTATTTTAATCTTTCTTTTAACTCATGTTAACCAATACAAATGTAGTGTTCCAAAAAGCTGCTAGCCTTATCAGGGCAGCAACACAAAACTCTTTTAGGTTACCTGTTCCTATTTCAGCCAGTTGGATTGTTTCATTCAGCCAAGGGTTTTTAAAATTGTGTGTGTGTGAATATATATTGCTAGTTCATGGCCTTTTTGCAAAGATCAAGGATAGCATAGTATATGTTTAATATCTGATACCGGTTGTGACTATATCTCACTCTTACATAGACATCTATAATTACTATGCTCATACTAGTCTGTTCTTGTGGATAGTATTGGTATCTTTTGATATGCAGATAAAGGTGTGTGTATACATAAATAGATATACTCATACTGTATATGTGATATGTGTGTACACAAGACACGCTTTCCCCCCTCACTCCCCCCTCCCCCCGTTAGCTTTTTGCCAGCCAGGATGGAAAACATTTAACCCCTACCCCAAACACACACACACGGTCATTCAGTGAACCAAAGAAAAGAAGGCTGGTCAATCAGTGTGGGGGTGGGAGGGAACCCAGCTGAATGTGACAGTGGTACAGCACCCCCTGGAAGCGACTGCCCGGCTTCTCCTCCCCAAGAACCAGCCCTGTGCAGCCGTCCATTAGCTCAAACAAGCTAAATGTTCTAAGTACTTTTTAGCTGACCATGATGCATTTCCTTTTTGTCCTCAAGTATATATGGAGCAGAGTAAATATTCATATCAGAGAAAATGAGCATTTATCTGTTAATACACTCTCAGTTTTAGATGCAGCATACTGTAAAAAGATGTATTTCTACATATTAACAATAGGAATCTCAGAGAGCCCTGTCGATTTACAAACCTCTTTCTTGTTCTAGAAGCTCTTTAAGAAAGTGGTGCCCCACCATTGCTTGGGGTGCATCTGGTCTCGGAGGGATAAGAAAGAAAACAAACACTTGGCACCCACCATCAGAGCCACCATCTCTCAGTTCAACACAGTTACCAAATGTGTCGTCAGCACCATCCTGAAGGGCAAGGACCTCAAAACACAGCAGAGAGCCAAGATCATTGAGAAATGGATTCATATTGCACATGTAAAGCATTCATTCTGTCCTGTTTCAGTTAATGGTGATTTGGGAGGTGGGGGGGGTCATGTGCTTTGTCCACAGGTTATTTTTCACACTGACTCCCTTGGTGGCCTTGAGCAAGATCCTGCATTTCCCCATCCTGAAAATGGGGTTGTTAATGCTGCCTTATCACAGCGTTGCGAGTGTTAATGAGTGGATGATGCATGTGCTTCGAAGGTAGGAAGTGCTGTGTCAGTGCTATTATTATGGTGAGAGAGGTTTGCAAAGTCAAACAATTCATCTTCCCTAGGAAAGAAAAATGACTAATCTTCTTGAAGGAAGTGGAATTCTGTCGAAGTCCTCTTAAAGTTAGATGCATTAGGCCATATTTCCCAAGGAAAGTGTAACAGGAATGTAATAAGGTCATTGATGGTGCCCACAAAACCTCACATAGACTGGGTGGTTGCATCTACAGCCCATTTGCTCACTCAGGTATGTGTTTTGCTTACACACAGTCAAATGTTAATGAGTGCAGAGGATACATGCATCATTTTTGTGTCTCCCCCTGTTGCATCCTTATTTGAAAGTTTGTCCCATCTGTTGTTTTGAGAGGGGAGTTCTCCAGTATCCTCTAATTTTTCTGCCCTTTTATTCCTCTTCACACCTTTTATAAAAGGCCTCCACACTGCTGATAGCCTGCACCATAATTTAGGGCAGGCAGGGTCTGGACGAAGCTCCCTCTAGAGCCTCGATCAGTCAGAGGGATCAATGGAAAGTGATAGGTGTTCTCCCTTTGACGGACTAAGTGCAATGATTCTGCAGCATTCTTTCTTAGTCCTTGGTGCCATGAGGGTGCAGAGTAGGAGTGAGAAACCGAGCTTGATTCCAAGCGAGGGCCTTTCCATATGGTAGCACTCTGTGTTATTAATAGACTAGTGGACTCCCAAGGCCTAAATTTATTAATACTCATTTATCAGCTATCCAGGAATGATTGCATCCCTCTTGATGCTTCATGACTTCTGAGTAAACTGTGTGAGATGATTCAGGGACAATCTTTAAATATCATAAGAACATAAGAATGGCCATGCTGGATTCGAACAACGGTCTGTCTAGCCCAGTATCCTGTCTCTGACAATGGCCAGTACCAGAACTTCAGGGGAAGTGTTCAAAACAGGGCAGTTGGAGTCATCCAACCCTGTCTTCTCATCCCAGCTTCTGGCAGTCAGAGGTTTAGGGACACACAGACCATGGGGTTGTGTCCCTGACCATCTTGGCTAATAGCCATTGATGGACCTATTTTCCATGAATTTATCCAGTTCTTTTTTCAACCCACTTATAGTTTTCAGTATCACAACATCCCATGGCAATGAGTTCCACAGGTTAACTGTGTGTTATGTGGGAAAAGTACTTTTGCTTGTTTGTTTTAAACCTGCTGGCTGTTAATTTCATCAGGTAACCCCTGTTTTTTGTATTGTGTGAAAGGGCAAATAACAATTCTCTATTCACTTTTTCTATACCATTCATCATTTTATAGACACCCCCGTACCCCCGTCTCACTTCTCTAATCTGAACAGCACTAATATTTTTAGTCTCTCCTTGTATGAAAGCCATTGCTTGCACTTCTCTGAACCTTTTCTAGTTCTACTGTATCCTTTTATGAGATGTGGCTAACAGAACTGGACACAACATTCAAGGGGTAGGCAAAGAAATATGAGTAAAACAGTAAAAGGTGTTTCCTGTGCCCTTTGCTTTAATCCCAGTTTGTGTTTCTCCTGTTCCAAATGGGAAACTGGGCTTCTGAGCAAATGGAAACTATTTTGAAGGAATCGAATGCAAGTGAGATTCTATGTATCGGCTACCAGAAAAACAAAATCCCTTAGAAATAATTCGTCTTCGTCTTCAACAGGTAATTGTAATTTCTTTCCTTCTCCATTTATAAATCCCATAAAACTAGAATTTAAAACACGAGATCACTAAACTAGATATTTTCTTACTTAAACACAACTTATTTCAAAGTAAAGTAAATGGTAAGATTTAGATAAATGATCAGACACAAAATTTATAATAATAATAGTAAAAGTATTTTGGGGAAAAAGCAGAAAAATTAAGTTTTTGCTCATAGTATTGTTGTTTTGAATAACCCTTGACACTGCAATATATTTGCTTACGGAATCATTTACTTTGTCCATTGGGCATAGTCCCTAGTTTGTAGTTACAGATTTACTCAAAAGAACAGAAGAAATGTTAGGAAAGGCCGTCTGGTTCAAGATGCCTGCCCTTTCTTTGCTTCACCTTAATCCTATTCCCTGCTTTTTCTCCATACCCCAGGTATCTCTAGAACTCCTTTTTACTCTTTGCTTCAGTTGCTTTCCCTAGTAATTGATTCCATATGTTTCTCACTTGTTTGCATGATATCATTTTGTCTGAGTTCCTTCAGCAACCCTGGCTTCCTAATTTTTTAGATTCTATCTTCTATTTGTTGGATGCTTCATGAACTGTGCTCATGAGGGCTGGGCTGCTGGCACTGAGATAGTTTTGTTTTAATGCTTCAGTGTTCCTTTAAAAATAAATCTAACACACATTAAAGAGATACAAAATAAGCAATACTTAAAAAATCAGGACAAATATTGAGTTTTTCAGTCTTAATTTGTTTTTATGCCTCTAGAAGCAAAATTGTTAGTATTGGCACCTAGACAGGTGGGAATGGATGGCTCAGGGAACTCTGCTGGCTGACTCTAGGCATGTTGCTTCAACTTTCTGTCCCTCCGTTTCCCCACCTGTAAAATGGGGCTAATGATCCCTCCTTTGTAAAGCACTTTGAGATTGACTGATGAAAAGGGCACATTAAGGACTAGGTATTATTATGGGAAGTAGAGTCTTTCACCTCTACATTGGCAGTTCTAATTCAGCCTAAATCAGTAGGTGACCAACTTCTGTTATCATCTGATGTTTCTTTGATGGCCAGTGTGAAATGGCTTAGATGGTGTCAGTCTTGTTTTCTGGTACACAGGTGTCAATCACAAAAACCATCATCCAAGGTATTAATGGACACCCTTGTTTGGAAGTTTAAGAGGCGAAGATTGAATGGAGATTAAGCTACCTTCTCATTCCTAGGGGTGCTCCCTCAAGGACAGGGGATGCCTATTGAGAGGGTAGCGGGAGTGGCAGGGGAAGTCTGGACTGTCACTGCCCACATAGTATCTGATCTTTGACCTTCAGCTTCCAGGACTGTCAATCTAGCATCTTTCAGCAGTCCTAAATTCACACACAAAATTAAATACTGCAGCCCTAGTTGAACCCATGAAGAATGCATGTGCACACTCAGTCAAATAATTGCATGGGCAGAATAGCTAGCTACACATATAGTTCCATACTTCCAAATGGAATTGCTTATGTTGCATGCACAAATGAATGTTTTGCCTGTGCTTGAGAATCTGCCCGTTAAACTGAAATTAGTCACTAAAAAAATGACTCTGTAACAGGGCCAGCTCCAGGCACCAGCAAAGGAAGCAGGTGCTTGGGGCGGCCAATGGAAAGGGGCGGCACGTCCGGGAATTCGGTGGCGGGTCCCTTAGTCCCTCTCCTCCTCTTTGAGCTGCCGCCGAAGTGCCGCCGAAGAGGAAGAGAGGGAGCGAGGGACCCGCTGCTGAAGAATGAAGCGGCGCGATTGAGCTGCCGCCGAAGTGCCGCCAATTGGCTTTATCTTTTTTTTTCCCCGCTTCGCCGCTTGGGGAGGCGAAAAAGCTGGAGCTGGGCCTGCTCTGTAAATAAGGCAGTGTGGGGTTCCATGCTTATTGTCTTTCAATGATCTTCAGAGCCAATTTGATATGTTTAAAAGTCAAGATATGTTTTTCTAACTGCCAGCCCTTCAGACTCCACCTCGGATCTAAAATTACTGAGCAAGAACGGCCAATTTTCTACATTAAATATTTTCTTTAAAAATAAAAAAGGAATCACTAATTGCCTATTAAAATTCCTTTTTAAAATCAAGGTTATTTTTGAGTATTTCAGGTACAGGAAAGCTTCTGATTGTTTTATGTATGTGTCACTTAAAAAGAGGCAAAGCAATTCTTAAAAAAACCCTGAGGCAGAAAAATGTTGGCTAAAGTTTAGCCTGTAGTGAATAAAATGAACATCTGAAAACATGGATATATAATGGGAGTCCTGATGTTTTTCTTAAATCCAGTGGAAGCTGTAAACTAAAGATGGGCCCACACTGGCACCTACTTTCCCAACCTCTTTCATGTTTGGGGAGCAGAGTGTTTCAGGATCAGATTTCTGGATCCAAACCATCCCCTATGGTTTGGATTCTGAGCTGAGCCCAAACCAAGAAGAAGCCTGTTTTCTACTGTTGCCAAAGATCTTGTGAGAAAGCTGTTTTGTGAGATTTTGGCACAAGGTGCCAGAAATCTTACAAGAATAGCTTTCGAGCTTTTGGTATCATCAGGTCTGACCCTGAACTTTTGAATAATGCTTTTGGCCCCAACTACAGTCTTTTGATACCAACCTTAGTACAAACCTAGCCCAAATGCCATCACCGTATGCTCTGCTACTCTCTAATATTAACATTATAAGGTAAATTCTTAAACAGCATCTAATGTTGTGCATAGCTCGTGCTCATAAACATGTGAGTAACGTTAGAGGCTGCATTTAAAAATGTGACTTTTAATGTTAATATTAGAGACTAGCAGAGCAGGTGGTATTTGCATGTGCATGCATGAACTGCTGGGCTGTGGACACACTTTCATGAGTTCTTCGGAGAGCGGGTTAGTCACAGGATGCTTGTTCTTTTTCCACCTCCTCCTTCCTTCCATATAAGCCTCTGTTATAATTGCCACAAAGATGTTGTGTGATTACAAATGGGAGGGAGATGTCTTTGAACCAGTCTCTCTATTCAGATGTGCTCCCCCCCATGGAGAGGTTTGAGAGCTCTTACCTTAAACAACGTACACGCCTGAATATGTTGATCTTTTGTGTGTATTTTTAAATTGTCATTTAGTTTGGCAAGGTTCATCATTTTAAATTCAACTAGCAAATAGGCAGGCCCCAACTTTCCCCAGCAGGGGGAGAAGGTAATTATAAAGTGCTTGTTAATAGGATAAAGTTTGTTTTCTTTAGCTTGACTTCAGAGACCCACCTCCACTAGTATTTTTACTAGGAGAGCTGGAAGCTATACAAAAAAATGAAAGTGAAGAAAACAAAGATTAAGTGCCAAAACCTATAAAGGTTTTGGTAGGTGGGGAGGGAGAGGGGAGCCATTTTTGATGCCCTATATTTGTACAGCTGCCTATTGAGCAGTAAGAATTCACCACAGCTGTGAGATTAGAAAAACAGGAAATCGCCAGCTCACTTGTAATATTGATCTTTAACTCTCCTTTATTTTTTATTCCCTCCCTTTACAGGAATGTAGGATCCTGAAGAATTTTTCCTCCTTGAGGGCCATTGTTTCAGCACTACAGTCCAACTCCATCTACCGGTTAAAGAAGACCTGGGCGTCTGTTCCAAAGTAATCCTCCCGCTCTCCTTTTAGCCCCTTTCCTCTGACTGGCCCACAACAAAAACAAAGTACAGTTATGCTTAGGGCAGGTCTATAGTACAAATTTTTGCTGATGCAAATAATAAGACCGCCACAATTAGTATATTGTTTGTGAGTGTGCATACTTGGTTTCTTGCATTGGCAGTGCGCATGCTCACCACGAGTGTTTGTGTTGATGCATGGTGATGTGCGCCATGGGTAGGTAGCCTAGAGTGCAACCCCCCCACCATCCACTCCATTGTCTTTTGGGAAGTTTTGGCAAAGCATGGTGGGGCAGATGTGAGTCACACAAGGGTGACTGGGAGCAAGGGGTCAATTTCCCAGCATGCAACTGTCTCCATTCCATAATGTTATCTAAATCTCATAATTTTCATGCCTTTTTTAAAAATCCCACAAACCCATGCAGCCCTCCTCACTGTCCGCCATCTCTGACAGAAGCATGGAGCCTGCACAGCTCTGCACTACTGTCATAAGCATCGCAAGCACAGAACGCACAATCCTGTGGTATTTGCAGAGCCGTAAGAAAAAACTAATCAGCATGGAACATGAGGATTTCTTGGCAGACAGATTGCTGTGGGACATAGCGAGAACCAAATCAAGGTGATTGGTGGCATTCACTGGGTAGCTGTCGATGTTGGAGCACTGCTTCTGGGCCCAAGAAACAAGCACTGACTGGTGGGATTCCATCGTAACACAGGCTTGGGATGATGAGCAGCGGCTGCAGAACTTTCGGATACTCAAGGCCACATTCCCGGATCTGTGTGCCAAGCTCACCTCAACCCTCCAGTGCAAGGTTGCCAAGATGAGAGCTGCACTGACAGCGGAGAAGCAAGTAGCAATCGCACTGTGGAAACTTGCAATGCCGGATTGCTACCGGTCAATGGGCAACCATTTTGGAGTTGGAAAATCCACTGTGGGGGCTGCTGTGTTTGCAGGGTTGTTACGACTGTGACTGTCAGCAACATGCAGGACATAGTGGATGGATTTGCAGCAATGGGATTCCCAGGCTGCAGTGGAGCAATGGATGGCACGCATATCCCTGTTTTGGCACCATACAACCTTACCACAGAGAACATCAACAGAAAGGGTTACTTTTCATGGTTATGAAATCTTGCAAAATGCTGAGCCAGCAGCAATAGGAGTTGAGGAGGCTCAACACCTCAATGGATGGGTCTCTGTGCTGACCCACCTTTTACATGTTTGATTGTTGTCTAGTCCTTCATCACTGTGGAAAACTGGATAATAATGATGTAGGCTTGATTTAGGGTGCTTTGTAATCAATAATTGACTTAATTCCTCTTCTGCCTAGGGACAGGATGCTGATGTTTGAAGAGCTGTCCGATATCTTCTCAGACCATGACAATTATCTGACAAGTAGAGAGCTGCTAATGAAGGTGAGAATGAGGCTGAGAGCAAGAGTTATGATCTGTGTCTGTGCTGAACCCTGTCACCTATCCAGTCGCCCAAACCCACGCCCCCGGGCTCCATTGTAGAGAGCCTTACAGAGCACAGTTCTGTGGCATGCAAGGAGTGTGCATGCCTGCTTCCTGTGTGACCTTTCTGCCCCCTGGCACAGCAAAATTGCATTGGTTCCACTGGCACTGATGCCATGCACAACTGGAAGGCTGGGATGGATTATGGGATTTGCCTACTGGTGAACAGGTGCTGCGGAAGTGTTGAGATATCTGTTGTCTCACTGAGGAGCGCAGCTCAAAGAAGTTGCAAAATAGCACAACGGCAAAGGATGCAGAAGTACTTCCCAGTAATACAGCTGTTCTAGATAACCTTTCAGTTAGTCATAAGTTCATCTAGAAAGGTTCGGTACTGATGAGCATAAAAAAATACAGAGACCAGATTCTCAGCAGCTGTAAATTGTCATAGCTCCTTTGACTGCAGTGGGAGTTATGCCAGTTTACTCCAGCTGAGGATTTCATCCAAGATGTTTGTCCAAACTATCCCCACCTTCTTGGAACTACACAACAGGGCTGGGAATCTGGAAGGAGCAGGCTTCCTGCTGTGTGTGTGGCCAAAAATGCCACAAAAAGTCTATGTTGCAGTAGTATGTGAATTCTGCTGTCAGACCGGGCTGAACCCCAAAAGTTCCGAGGCCACTGAAAATGAGAAATACTGGTAGTGAAGCATGTTGGTATGAACCTTTTAGAAACTAAGGGAAGGTTCAATTAGATTTCTCTGAGCTCTGTCTAATTCAGTCTGTTTCTATCTGGTCTATATCTAGTCTGTCTAGAATTTATAATTCACCTCAGCATTATAATGTCCAGCACTGAATTTTGGGCAAAGGCTCAGTGATGATGGGTGATTTTATTCAAACTTGGTGGGCAGTAGCTACTTATGAGCCATTTATCAAAATGTTTTACAGCAGGTGAAGTAGTAATAAATATTGAGAGGAGTCCTCATCTATCCAGACCAGTTCAATTAACTAAATGTTAAACATTCCCGAGAACAGACCTATTGGCTCCTGCCAGAACTTATTCTGCAAACCATTCTGAAGGCAATGAAATGAGCTTATAATGATCTCGCCCAGCTGTTTTATTTAACTTTGTTCAACTTGTGACAACCCGAAGACTAGCTTCAGATGAAGCCTGGAAGTCTCTCTTTCCTAATTGTGAGGATTGCCACATCCTTGAATAGTCTCCCCAAGGAAGTTGTAGTAGACCTATCACTTGAGACATCTAAAGCTGGAGTGGACCAAAACAACTGAATATAGTTTTGACAGGGCAGCATCTCGCTCCTGTCTCTTTTCTAAATACAAACTGCTTGGAGACCACCTTCTGTTCAAACACTTTGTGCAATTTATTTAGTGTTCTCCCCATCACTGTTACAAACCTGTGCAGCATTGTGTTTACAAGCATACTGTCCTTAGTTCACTCAGCCAAGAAACGTGGAGTCAGAAAAGATTTTCTCCCAAGAGATCTCTCCTGGCTCTGCCTTGCAAAAGCCTGCCAGTCTCTCTCTGCTCCCCTCAGCATTTCCTTCCTGTGTCTTTTCTATTTTCTAATCTAATGAGCTCATTAGCCTTTTGGGCTCTCCTCAGCCCATCCCAGCCTATCAATTCGGCACAGCTTTACCCCTCAGGTTTATTCTGGGGTGCTATAATTGGTGGTCAGTGATCAGAGTGCTAGTACAGCTGCTGTTGCCCAACACTCTGTCACAGTACTGTATGGAATAAGCCAGAAGTGGCTTGGTGGGTGAACCAAGAGGTCTTTCCATCTCTAAAATCTAGAGCACTACAAGCCTTCTGCACCATGTGCATGAGTAATTCTTCTGTGGTTTGGAACTTATTTAAATCAGCTTCTGTACCAAATGACTAGAGGATAGCTAATGTGACACCAATTTTTAAAAAGGGCTCCAGAGATGATCCCAGCAATTACAGGCCAATAAGCCTGACTTCAGTACCAGCCAAATTGATTGAAAATATAGTAAAGAACAGAATTATCAGACACATAGATGAACATTATTTGTTAGGGAAGAATCAACATGGTTTCTGTAAAGGGAAATCATGCCTCACCAATCTACTAGAATTCTTTGAGGGGGTCAACAAGCATGTGGACAAGGGGGATTCAGTGGATATAGTGTACTTAGATTTTCAGAAAGCCTTTGACAAGGTCCCTCACTCAAGGCTCTTAAGCAAAGTAAGCTGTCATAGGATAAGAGGGAAGGTCCTCTCATGGATCGGTAACTAGTTAGAAGATAGGAAACAAAGGATAGGAATAAATGGTCAGTTTTCAGAATGGAGAGAGGTAAATAGTGGTGTTCCCCAGGGGTCTGTTCTGGGACCAGTCCTATTCAACATATTCATAAATGATCTAGGAAAAGGGGTAAACAGAAAGTGATAAAATTTGCAGATGATACAAAACTACTCAAGATAGTTACGTCCAAAGCAGACTGTGAAGAGCTACAAATGGATCTCACAAAACTGGGTGAGTAGGCAACAAAATGGCAGATGTAATTCAGTATTGATCAATGCAAAGTAATGCACATTGGAAAACATAACCACAACAAAAATGATGGGGATCTAAATTAGCTGTTACCACCAAGGAGAGAGATTTTGGCGTCATTGTGGATAGTTCTCTGAAAACATCCACTCAATGTCCAGCAGCAGTCAAAAAAGCTAACAGAATGTTGGGAATCATTAAGAAAGGGATAGATAATAAGGCAGAAAATATCATATCGCCTCTATATAAATCCATGGTATGCCCATATCTTGACTACTGTGTGCAGATGTGGCTGCCCCATCTCAAAAAAGATATACTGTATTGGAATTGGAAAAGGTTCAGAAAAGGGCAACAAAAATTATTAGGAGTATGGAACACCTTCCATATGAGAAGGGATTAATAAGATTGGGACTTTTCAGTTTGGAAAAGAGATGACTAAGGGGGGATATGATAAAGGTCTATAAAATCATGACTGCTATAGAGAAAGTAAATAAGGAAGTGCTATTTTCTCCTCCTCATAACACAAGTTCTAGAGGTCACCAAATGAAATTAATAGGCAGCAGGTTTAAAACAAATAAAAGGAAGTATTTCTTCACACAACGTACAGTCAACCTGTGGAACTCTTTGCCAGAGGATGTTGTGAAGGCCAAGAATATAGCGGGGTTCAAAAAAGAACTAGATAAATTCATGGAGGATAGGTCCATCAATGGCTATTAGCCAGGATGGATATGATGTCCCTAGCCTCTGTTTGCCAGAAGCTGGGAATGGACGACAGTGGATGGATCACTTGATTACCTGTTCTGTTCATTCCCTCTGGGGCACCGGACATTGTCGGAAGTCAGGATACTGGGCTTAGATGGACCTTTGGTCTGACCCAATATAGCCATTCTTATGGTCTTATGGGAGTCCAGGCTTCTAGGTTCCATTTCTGTCTCTGCAACTTACTGTTATATGACCCTGGGCAAGTCACTTAAACTCCTTGTTTTCCCCAACTATAAAATAGGTGTTGTATTACTCACCTATCTGATAGGAATATTGGGAGTCTTGATTAATTCACATTTATAAAGTGTCTGGAGAGCCTACAAAAGGAGCTTTACAAATGCAAATTATTATTTATTATTGTTTTGGGACTCACTAGAAAAAGGGGGTCATAATCTCAGAAATAAATTAACGTCACAAGGCAAAGGCTACAGAACTGTTATGAAATATGGCTCCCATTCATATAGTTATTGGAAAACCTAAATCCCTCAGCCTCGAATTGTGCAAATCTAAAACAAACACTTTTATTTCCTGAATGTCTCTGTATTACTTGGAAAACCATAGAGGTTAGTCATCATATCATAGAGTCACTGTATAAAAAAAGAAAAACACCACCGTGTAGGGGAGATGTTTACTTGTAAAATTGCTGATTGCAAAATAAGTTAACCGTCTAAGGACAAAAGGCCCAGAAGCTGCGTTCGGATGAGAATCCAAATGTATGGCGCATATTCAAGTTTCTTGAATTTAAAAATCTCAGTTGATTTGTGGTTCTTCTAAGCTTCGCCTGGGCCAGGACTGTTTTGCAGACAAACTCCCTTGTGGTAATTTGGTATGATTGTCTCCAACAAACCCCAGCAGTGCAGAAGCCTTAACGTTTTTTTTAAAACAAGCAAAAAAGTTAAGCACACGTTTCTGAACCTCAGGGCAGTGTGGCTCAGCTGGGTGAATTTTCATGTATTTCAATCCTACCAATAATGTCCCCCATTAATTGCCCTTTCATTCACTCCGAAGGAAGGAACATCCAAGTTTGCAAATCTGGACAGTAGTGTGAAAGAGAACCAGAAAAGGACCCAGAGGCGGCTTCAGCTCCAGAAAGATATGGTGTGTGCAGCATGCTGTTCTCTCTTCTCTCTGAATTTATACCTGGGATAATAGAAGCAAAATCCAGAAATGCATTTTAAGAAACAGAGCACAAAGCACATTATACCATGCAAAAACCCGAGAGTCGATACAACAGTGAGGTTGATCAACCAAGTACAGTGTCAAGGAACTTAAACAGTGAAGATTGAACACTCAGCCTTAACTCTGTCCCTTTTTACATATGGCCTAAAATATTCTTTCTGTATAAATTTCTATGACAGGTTTCAGAGTAGCAGCCATGTTAGTCTGTATCCGCAAAAAGAAGAACAGGAGTACTTGTGGCACCTTAGAGACTAACAAATTTATTAGAGCATAAGCTTTCGTGGACTACAGCCCACT